GTTGGCATTCCAAGAATGGATTTGAACACGGAGAAAACCCGCGAAACACAAGATTGTCATATAGGAAACACCCGTGAAAGCCTCAAGAATAATATTCTATGCCTGTAAATACTCCCATTCCTTGTGATTATTCCCGCTCTTTTTGTTATGGTCCGAAATAACTTTATACATTCTTTTCATTGATTGAAATTTTGTTGAACATTTGACTCCTGTTACTTCATATCCTTTCTCTTGCATAATTTTGGCAATTTTCTCCCAATATTGCTTTACAGTACCTTTACCATTACGAAATTGATCTTTGTATTCATTATATGTTTGCAATAATAATGTAGTTTCTGATTTATTCCACAGATGTGTACCTGCAATTAAATAGGGATATAATAATTTAAATATCTGATATGCAAATTTATCAATATTTAATTTACCTTTTGTACTTTCCGACGTGCATTCAACAGTGTTGGAGTGTTCGCTAGACGTACTTGCTAAAATATAAATAAAATCACTTAATTATATAGTCTGATCACATTTAGAACATTAGCTTACTGCAACAGTGAGCTAATTTTTAACAGTTTTTAAAAACAATATAAATGGACTTTAAAGTAGAGTGATAAGAAAAATATAAGTATATAGGTTAGCTCAATAACATTGTCAAACTTGTGATATTAATATTTTCCTCATTTTAAATTTATAATTAATTTACTTTATTTTTACAAAATGTGGATATGTCCTTTATTTATATAATAATATTACCATTATTTTTAACTAGTAACGTATTACTTTCTACAGATTGCATGGCAGTATCTCGTTTAGTTTTTTCCATTAATTGGGTAGCAAAATTTATATCTGCAAATTAAAACAATATTTAGATTTATGACAATTGTAATCACTAATTGCCTTTATACCTGTTCGTGCTTTCTCCGCATCCAACCTGTTTACAATTATTTTATATTCCATATTATTTTCAACATCTATGAGACAGATTTCTTCCAAGGACGCCGCCATGTTTCTACTGCGAATGCCTCACCTCGCTAGCTGCAGTAATGTAAGCAGGAAATGACGACAAAATCTATGACATCATATACGTATAATGATACTCTCAAAATTTACTATAATATATATCGGAACGGCATTTGCACTGCTGCCAGTGCTGGCAGTGCATATCGGAACGCACCCTGTGTCATCTGTCTCTTGCTTGAAAGCACCTTATGGCTGCGTTCGGAAACATCACCCGAGTACCTCTGTGTATCGTTTTATCCTTGATGTTCACCCAATGTTAAATAAGGATAAAGTGATACACAGGAGCACCCAGATGATATTTCCGAACGCAGCCTATGTATTGACAGATATTCTAACCTAAAAAGGCATTGGACATAAGAACAAGTGCTATTACAACCATGTTTCGACGAAATGCTGTCAGTATTTAAAAAATCTATACTTCATATTATATATATTACAGATTTTTAGTACTGGGTGTATATCTATTATAAAGTGATATTATTCAAGTTTATCGCATCAAATACTCGAACAGACTTATTAGAGTGAGCAGGAGCTATGTAGTAGGCATGCGATAGCATGTGGTAGGAAATGCGTTTGGCTTCAAGGCTAAAGGCCCGTCTACAATACACGGAGTAAGAAGTAAGAGTAAGAAATTGACCAATCACAGTCGATTATTCTTCTCACATTCGACTGTGATTGGTCAATTTCTTACTCTTACTTCTTACTCCGTGTAGGAGAAAGTGGGAGAATTGTGCGCACCTAAGGGATATTTGTTTTTCTGGGATGGTTTTCTAAGTTCAAATCGATATAAATAGGGAAATAGAAACTATAAACTTTTTCTTACCATTACGTATTCTTATATTGAACAGTTTTTCATTCAATAAGGTCGTATTTGGCAAAAAGGAAAAAAACGGAAAAGCGAAAAAATTTGTCACGCGTCGGGTAATTGTGCGCATGGGTTAGGGAATTGTGCGCAAAGCAAAA